TATATACTTTTTTTATATATTTTATATATTTTTTAAATAATAGAAAATTAAAACTTACTGTTACAACCACAATATAATAACCGAAATAAAGCCAGAGACCAAAGTCCTTGATTAACGGTGCTTTAACTCATTGATTCCTGTTCATCATATTATCAAGCTTGACCTGCAGCTAATTTTCTTAAAAACCAATCAACTTTCCAAACAGAGGAAAGAAAGAGACATTGCAGGAAAATGGATGACATTATTTTCACACTTTTAATTATTAATATTATTTTTTTTAATTTTAATTAATTATTATATTTTTAATTTATTAAAAAATAAAAAATGTAAAATTTTAAAAAAAAATGTAATGTAAGAATATAATAGATAATTACATTAAAAAAATATAATATTAATTATTTAAAATGTGATAATAATTTTACCTTAAAAAATTATCTAGATCTATACATTTCATAGGCAAAAACGCACAATTTATCCTTCAACTTTTCAAATGTGTGACATTTTATTCCTCAACTTACAATATATGATTTTATACTTTATGGTGTTTGGGTTTATAATAATGAGGCAATAATTAATATTGAAGGATCACGTATAACATGTGCACTATTAATTTCTATTATACATGTATATGTCAATGACACCTGAGTTTTTTTTTACACGCTGACAGTCCAAGTTGAACTACTCATTAGTAGGAATTATACTGCCAAACAATTTAACTGTGGCACTCTCTGACTTATGAGTTGAAAAAAAAAAAAGGGAAAGTCAGACGAATGAAAACAAACAGTCTGACTCCTTCAATTTTGCCTCAAAACAAATAGATTTCAAGAAAAATATTTCTTTTTTCGCGCTTCGATTTCAAGAGAATTTCATGGCTGTTGCCAGAAAGGAAGATGGAATGAAAACAGAGGGAGTGGAGGAAGAGGAGTCAGACTGTTTGTTTTCCAGATTGGTACAATAGTTGAGAACAATGTTCAATGCCTTGGCACCAAACATACATGAACCACAAGACAGCTTCCTCAGATTTTTGCAGTTTTTAGCGAATCGAGCCATCCTGTAATCGGTGATTTTGTGGCATCCACAGAGCTTAAGGCGGCTAAGGTTTGGGCAATGAGTTGAGATCAGCACCAACACCTTGTTGCTTAAGCTAATTGATTTTCGGTTGCATCGAAGCACGAGTTTGTTGACAGAATCGAAGCGCGTGAAGATAGAAGACAACGAATCAACGATCTCCGATCGTGAGTCGAGCGATAGGCGGTAGTGGTTTTGGTCGTCCACAAGCAGAAACCGCTTGCACACTAGCGAGCACCACTTGCGATCGTCGGTGCCAAGGAATTGAAAAATGTATGCCAAGCACTCATCGGGAATCTCACCGGTATAATCGAGATTCGCAGCAAATTCCTTGTCGGATTCCACAGAATCGCTGGAAACCATTCCAAGTGACGACAAAGAGCTGAATCGATCACCGGCAGAGTAATCGCGGTCTACGTAAATGGAATGGAACTGACCCATTTTCCCTCAAAACAAACAGATTTCGGGAAAAATATTTCTTTCTTTGCTTCGATTTCAAGAGAATTTAATGGTTATTGCCAGAAGCGAAGATCGAGTGAAAAGAGAGGGAGCGGACGAAGAGGAGTCAGACTGTTTGTTTTCATTCATCTGACTTTCTTTTGTTTTTTTTTCCTACTCACAAGGAAGGGAATCAGACTCACAATTAAATTATTTGACAGTATAATTCCCACTAATGAGCAATCTAAGTTGGACTGTCACTGTGCAAAAAAAAGATCAAGTGTAACTTACATGTACATGTATTATGAAAATTAATAGCGAATGTGTTGCACATGACCCCTTAACATTAAATATTGCTTCATTATCATAAACTCAAACAAGGTATAAAATCATATATTGTAAGATGAGGAATAAATTGTCACATACTCAAAAAGTTGAAGGAAAAACTACAGGTTTTTACCCCATTGAATATCATTGAATATATGTTTTGTTGGGACCTGAGGATGATTTTTTTTTTTTTTCATTTTCCAAGATTTATAACAAGATATAATTTTACTTATTTAATTACATGTAAAAATTATAAAAAAAATTATACAAAAATTATCCCCCATATCATTACCTATTTTATACTCTATTGAGTTGATTTTAGTAATAATAATTTGAGATTATCTTTTTATTTTCATTCTTGATCACAATTAAATTAAAAAACCTAATGCATTTTTATTTCATTCCAAATAAAGATAAAATTAAAACACTAGAATTAATTGAAATATTGAACTTATTTGGACACAAACATGATCCAAAAAACCGATTGTAAATTTTAAGCGCCCACCAACCTTTCTTTTCTTTTTTCATGCTAAGTGCCCACCAACTTAGATGTACTTAGCATGTCATTTTTAGTTAAAACAATGAATTCTGAATGCTACATCGGCATAGAAATTTTCACATAATATCGAAGAAATGAACACTATTAGAAAAATGACATAGACAGACTGAACATATACGGAC